AACTTGTGTTTTTCCAAAGTGATGAAGCTTTTGCATCTCATTGTACTAACTTAAGTTGCATATCACGGCAGACATCTCAAAATACATAGTCTTCTGGGGGCTAAGCATATATTAATACATTTTGGTAGAGAGGAATATAGGCCTACTGTCATATAGGTTATGTTATCGGGCATCCTTCTAATTCCCTTGAACAACCAATATTGAACTTTTGAACTCTTTATAATTTCTATTATCTAGTCCAGTTAAAGTCCAGGGGAGGAAGCCCCATCATAGTAAAGAGGATACTAATGTGATGTGTGTAGTTCTTCATAGCCTCTTCATTTTGCTCTCAAAGTGCACGGAATTGATGGATTTTTAACAGTATGTAGAAAAAAATTCTCCGGGGGGGGCATACCCCCGGACCCCCCTAAAGGGGCTGTGTTCCCCTTGGGGCTAAGCCCCCCTTGTTCTTGAAACCTAGTGACGCCCCTGCCTGTGGGTAAAAAACAAAAAACAAAAAAGGACGTTTCGCTTCTCTCACATAAGCTTCGTCAGCGGTAGACGAAGCTGTGAGAGAAGCAAAACGTCCTTTTTTGTTTTTTGTTTTTTACCCACAGGTACAGATGACGACTGACGGAACCCTTTCTACAGTAGTAATAGTAGTAGTTTGCTTTGTGTGATATTCAATTTATGCAGTCGTGTTATAATTGTACAATTGTTATTCTGGACTGGCAGAATCTCTCTGTCTCTCTATTTACATACACAAACACACCATACATTGGAAAACAAATGTAATGTTGTACTCCATCATCTGGTTATTTATTCCGTGTCTGTCTGATTTTGTTGATTTATTATGGCTATTTTTGTGTCATATCTTTGACACCTGAAAGATATTGTACACATACATTAGCGAAGGGAGCGTAAAAATCCTCAATAAAGCAATTGTTTCATTTCAGTTTGGTTTTCCTAATAGGTGGACCTGGCCGATGGAGTATCAGGGAAACACAGGACCACCTCCACAGATTCCAGTCTTCTACATCGGAATGCAGCCTGGTCACAATGCAGTCTATCCAGCTCCAATGGAGAGTGCAGCAGTAGCTCCTCCATCATACACACTACCTCCTGCTGCTATGCAGATGCCCTTACCCGGGCCGGCTTCCGGCTGCCCACCTGGACTAGAATACCTGATTCACCTCAACCAGCTTCTCGTGCATCAGATAGGGGTGTTCACACGGCAACATTTGCTCCAGTGCTGCCCCAGTTGAGCGTTTACATGTGCAAAGTTACTCCGGAGCAAATTTAACCCACCTCAGGTAGGTGGTTTAAATATTTGCTCCAGAGCAAATGCTCGTTTGTGGGGCAGCACCGATGTAAAATGGTACGTGTGAACTCTACGGCAGGGGTCCCCAACCTTTTTTGGCCCACGGACCGGTTTAAGTCAGACAATATTTTCAGGGACCGGCATTTAAGGTGTGGCGGATTAATACAACAAAATAATATGGTATGAGCTGCATGAAAACTGTGGTGTTTTCGAAATATAATAATAAACACAAGGAGCGTCTAATCTGGTCGCAACGCTCTTATCGCTCTGGTAATGTTTAATGCCTTCAAAATACGATACAACGCAAATTCAAAGTGCATGAAAATGACGACTCACCACAGCCCCGAGCTTGATTTTCTGCAATCAGACAGTCCCATCTCGGGGTAATAGGAGACAATGACACCTCAAGTGTGTGGTTTATGTCCAGTCTACTTCGTAATTTTGTTTTAGTCGCTGTTGCTGCAGAAACTCCCCACCTCACACAGGTAGGATGTCGGAAATAGCAACAGTGCTATTGTGGCGATCTCAGAGTATTCAGCCATAACTTTGATCCAGTAGTTTCGAACATACTTTTAAGGCGGCCGTCATTTGCGATCTCCAAGCAGCTTTTTTACTCATTTTGCGGGCTTCAGCACTTTGTTTTTGAGCGTCATCGGTCACGTGACCGAGAAGTGTGACTTGACGTGAGTCAAGCGTGACACAGACGGATGTAACAGAGAATCCGGTAATTTTTCAAAATAAAACATATTTCGTATTCCGAAATAAATAAAACGGAAATAAGGCAAGTTCTTTCTGTGCGGCCCGGTACCAAATGCCCTGCGGACCGGTACCGGTCCGCGGACCGGCGGTTGGGGACCGCTGCTCTACGGGGTTAAAAATTTGCTCCAGAGCAAATGCTCGCTTACGGGGGGAGTGGCCTCGCTACGCGTAAGAGGAGTACATACGGGTACTTGCAAACTTGCATCCTGGGTATTTTGCGCTTCAAAACGGGCGAGTAACAACAACAACAACACGTGCGATAAGAACGAATACAGGGGTTGAACTGGGCGACGATGAAACTTCAGCCTTGATAACAATTTGGGCTGACGGGACCATCCAAGCCCAATTAGAAAGATCCAGGAGGAATAAAGCGGTTTTCAAAAAATAGGTGAGAAGATGCGATCCGAAGGTTTTCACCGCACTGGCGATCAGTGCCGCCAGAAAATCAAAGGCCTCAGACAAGAATACAAAAAAATAACCGATAACAACAAAAAGTCTGGTAGAGGGAGAAAAACATGCAAATTTTATGATCGACTTAATGACATCCTCAGGCATCGCCCAGCTAGTGTGCCGCACCACCTCCCCGCTCCCTGTACAAGTGTAGACGATTTAAGCGGTGAAGACAGCGCGAACGATCCTGAGGATCAAGAAAGCGGTGAAGACAGCGCGAACGATCATGAGGATCAAGAAAGCAGTGATGTCAGCTTCGGGAATAGGTCTACCTCAAAGCCAGGAAAAAGAAGAAAAACAAGGGTTGACCAGTTCCAGAAATGTATGGAGGAAATGTTCGAGAAGTTTGCAGAGAGCCAGAAAACAATTATGAAGGTACACACACGCACGCACGCACACACACACACACAAACACACACAAATGTGTGTGTGTGTATGTATTATATGTGTATGTGTGTATGTATGTATATATATATATATATATATATATA